ACACACACACACACACACACACACACACACACACACACACACACACACACACACACACACACACGCGTCCCAACCTCTCAGAATACTCTTGGACAAGTAGACAGCTGTCTGTGTGTGTTTGTGTGTGTGTAAAAGGAGTAACAGTGGTTGCTGATTTCAAAACTTGACATAACACTAACATCATCAACAACTTCTTGACGTGGTGAGAATTGTTCTGTTCCTTTCAGGTACACATTCCTGTGGTTTATTTTTATTTATTTATTCTTGTTTTAGCTAATTTCCCCCTCCTATTACAAAGGTAACTTCTGATACGCAGAGTTAGCGTAATCTTCCTCTCTCTCTTTTAGGTAGGATTAATGTTATCAAGATAAATATTTTACCTAAATTTCTTTTATATTCCATTCTATTCTCTATTTCTGCCCCCCAAATTTTTTTTGATTCTTTGGATAAGTTAATTTTTGATTTCATTTGGAAAGGGAACCCTTGAGTTATTGGTTAAATCGTCTAGTTCTCCTTGGTGCAGATTGGAACTATCATCTTTTACTGGGTCTTCACTACCTGCTCTATTTTTTTTCTTTTTTATCTATAAAACCCTCTTTATATACCAATAATCACATATTGTTCTTAATGCACTAAAACTCTGGTTTCAATTTAGAAGGCGTTGTAAATTTCTTTCTGCCTCGTCTTTGTCCCCCTTGACTAACAAACGTATGTTTCCTCAGTCTCTTTCTGATCCACCCTTTTCAGTTTGGTATGATAGGGGTATAAAATGAATAAGAAATCTCTACACATCAGGGGTATTTGGTAGTTTAGCACATTTTGAGGCATTTTGGTGTTTTCACTTTCTGCCTCCCTGATTGGACACAGCGCTGATTCATCTCACCTGCAAAGGATTTGACTCATTGCTCCTAGGCTTCTTAAGGCTGCTCTGAGGATCTGCTCGTTGCAGAAGCATCGCCTCTGTTTGGTTTGAGCGCAGCATGCTTACTAGTCTCTTGTTATCAGAGTAATCTTACCTTTGTGGTTTTTGTACTCACCTGTTCCCAGACGGTGAACCTCAGATTTTGCCAACCCAGCCTGAAGACCTTGTGCCACTCACCTGGATTTCAATGTGCTGCCAGTTTTCCCCCAACGCCACTGTAAATTAGTGATGGATAAACCGAGGCTTTCTGAATCACTGAATCAATATGAATTAATTGTGCTGGAATGACTGTTTCGAATCATTTGATACATTGAAGTGTTCCATCTGCTGGCCAAGCTTTAACATTACAGCTGCATGAAACAATGAAGGACAAGGCGTTTCATGAACCAGTCAGCCTCTGTTCTGTACAATAAAACTTCTAACCGCATCTTGAACATTCTGACTGTTTTAAGAACAATAATAAAATTACAGTAAAATGTGGCTGTGCTATCACAAAATACTGTATGTGATGATGAAGACAGGTGCTGCTCTGTGAAGCAGCTCTGATCTTATTTATACAAACCTGGAGCTTATTGTTCATAATTATTGCTTTGCTTAACTAAATATGGCCTATAAGTAAAAGTTTAGTAATTATCTGTATTGCTTTTATTAATCATAGCATTTTGGTACAGTTTATATTTAAAAAAATTTAACACCCAGGATTCAAACTCACTTCTCCCACATGGGAGTCACATATCTTACCTACTACTCCAACATGATCACATGGTTGTCCTAAAATATCTGTTATTTCATTTTTACAAACACCTCACACAACTTTCTTGTACATGTTGATCCCTAAAACAGAAGTCAATTATTCAACAGGATTATTACAGAAATACTCTTTTTTGGCAAGAAATACTATATCACTAAAAAGTATTTTAAAATAAGGAGTAAAATGGAAATCCTCATGCAGTGGGGGTGGGAGTTCAAAGAATTAAAAAATAAGATTATTTCAGCTCAGATGGTTAATCTGTTGTTCTTCTTTGTTGCTATATCTCTCCAGTTTTGAATACTCTTTCACGTGGCACCTCTCCTTAAAAAAGCTCTGCTTTTACGTGAATCAGGCTTAAAAGCCTGAATTTTGCCTGAAACTCTCAGACTGAAGAAGTCTCTTGGAGAAGAGACGAAACATTTCGTTAAAGAAGGACCCGTCCAGAAGACCTATACAATTTTTTTCTTTTTGATTTTTTATATAAAAAAAAAACAACTGTTTCAGAAGCACTGTGTCAGAGCTTGATTCGTTTGGTAAAAGTCACGTGATCAGTGACGTCCGAAGCTTCGAAAGTGGCAAAGTTACGTGACTGCTTTGGTACCTGATTTAAAGGTTCATGAGGAAGTGAATCATTGGCTGGATTTGTGGTGTGTTTTGGCAAATGCGCAAAATATAACAAACCAGTGAAGGACTTAAAAGACACAGAGGCAAACAAACGTATGTGTTTAGTTTATTGTGCAGTTTATAAGCCTGGGCCAGCCAGTGGAAGTTCGGTCTAACACACACACACACAAACCCACAAAGAACCTTTGCTGCGAGCGCACGCACGCATGCACACACACACACACATGGTCGGACCGACGCACAACTGCGCACGGCTTGGCTCATCATTAAAAAGAAAGCAACGAGAGCGCAAGACACACCCCAGAGCAGAGCTTCACTTGTTGCACATGTGATGCTTTTCATAAAAAAACAAAACCTCGATGGTGACAATGCCCTGTCCTCAGGGGGACGGGCTGCAGGGAGCATTACATGAAACTGATCAACTSTATGGACTCTATTTAATAAAGAAATTGTCTGAACATTGTAAGGTTCAGTGGAAAAGTTTTGAACGTCCCACCTGCTTGTCAAAATTTAAATCAAAGACCTGTGTCTGTATTTATCAGACTTCTAGAAAATACTATTAATGTTGTTGTACTGAATTCCCACTAGAGGGCAGCAGTGGACAGGTAATTAAGTCAGGCAGTGGTTAAAGGTGCAGTATGTAACTTTTCTAAAAATATATTTTTAACATATTTGTTCATTCTGTCACTATCTCCTGACAGATTGATATTAGACAGGTAAGCTATGGAGGAAAAAAGAGTCCTCTTGCTTTTCCCGGTGGTACTACAGGCTTTAGAAAAATCCAGGCTGACCCGAGAATTAACAGCCAATGAAAACAGAAGTTTGTTCGTGAACGAGCTTCTGACGACCATCTCCCCACATCACTGCCCGCAGCGCGCAGACGTGCACATTCTCGTTTCATAAGCAGCTGCAGTGACGGAGGATAAGCTAGCTGCTACCTTTCCTGG